TGCTGCAGTGATTTGGACCAGCTGCAGTCGGTTAACTGATGACAGACTGACACCTGAATAAAGATGGAATATAAATAAATGGATAGCTCTCTCAAAGTCTCTAAAACAGAGGAATGGCTTCACTTTTGCAAGTAGCCGGAGATGAAAGAAACTGGTCCTGATTACAGCATTGATCTGTTTACCAAACGTTAGATTGCGTTCCTCGCAAAGGTTTTTTTTAAATAAACTTCTAAAGGGCCCAAGTCGTAGTGGTCACAGGGACCAAACACAATGACCTTTGTTTTCTGTTCATTTAAGTTAAGAAAGTTTAAAGCCACCCATGCCTTAATATCCTCCAAACAATCTAGTAAACCCTTCAGAGGACTCACAGATTTACTTTTCAGTTGTAGGCAAATCTGTGAGTTGTCAGCATAACAATGAAATAAGATGCCATGTTTTGTTTTGTTTGTTTTTTTAAATTGAGCCTATTGGGAGTAGTAAGGTTAGTTTTAAAGAAAGATTATTAAGAATTAAGTACTGTACTTATTATAGATAATCTTTGGAGATGGATGCAAGAAAACTCACCAGTCACCAGAGTGCTGATCAGCCAGGAATAGTAACTGTCAATGAAATAATCAGAGGCTTTTCAGTGTATACATAATAACCATTCCATACCAACTTTATTCATTAAGCTCTTTTTAAAAAAGCTACATCAGACACAAAGTCCTATACACAAAAATAGATAAATACACTCTAAACTATGAAAGGTAAAAACAACTATAACACAATAAAAATGAACAAGATCAATGTCTAATGTCGGGTCAAAGGCCAAAGAGAAAGAATGTGTTTTAAGATGAGTTTTAAAAATAGACAACGTAGATGTCAGGCAGCTATGGATAAAACCTAAAATGTAAGAAACATTCAGATCTGACGAGAATCTTTAAAAAGTGACTTTTTAAAGGAGGTTGGCACAAATGTGAAGTCTGGCAGCGCTTTAATAATGACAAATTAAGTAGCGACGAGATGAATTTGATGATTGGCTCACCTCTTTTGGCGTAAGTAGGCCAGAGAGAAAACGGCTCCACTGATGCACAGGGGATACACCAAGTAGGACAAGTATCTGGACGCCTCGAGGGAAAAGCCAAAGATGAAAATGTAAAAATGAAAGAAAGCCCGAGGGAGAATATTAAAGGAGCCATAAAACAAACAGACTGATACCTGTGTGTCGTACTCCACTGTCTTTCTCTCCTCTTCATCCAGTTTATTAACCTAAAGAGTAAGACAGACTTAGAGATCACAACTTGTATGATGCATTCTTCCACACTGCTGTGAACACAGATGTGCAAGTGCTCCATACTCACATGAAGCTTGTTGCCTTTGCACTGTATCTGGATCTTAAATACTGTAAACACCTTCCACACCTGGTGGGATAAGCGATTACTGGTTTATAACTCTCTGTTTTGATCTTTATTTGACTCTAATTTGTCTGAGCAACACCAGATATACTAATAACTACCTCCACACACGCTCCCAGTCCGACAGGAAGGAGCACCAGCAGGCTGGTCTCCTCCAGAAGATAGAGGAAAATCAGCAAAGTACCGAGACTACGCCACAGAACTGAAAACGAAAGAAGGAATTTAACATTTTCTGAGCTGATCGATGCCACGCATCATTTTTGATTATGGTCACCTGTCTTCCTCGATATCCCCGCCATGCTTTTCTTTTTCCTCCATGAGCTGATGTCATTTTTAAGAGCCAGAAACTCACAGATCAGCTGTTGAAAAAAAGGAAATAAAGCATTTAGAAAAGAAATTACATTTCCTTCCACAAAGTCCGTGTTAATATGCTCTCTTACTTGCAAAGCTGTGATGAAAGCAGTCAGCACTAACAGGTAGAGGTTGGATCCCACCAGAGTTTCTTTAATTTCATCGATGTTTTCGTCTGTGAAGCCTGGAGACACAAAGAAGCAACGGATGAGCTCATTTTGATGAGCTGAGGTCTTATTTGGGTTGTATTTGAGTACAAATAAAAGCTACCACATATAATTAATATGATATAATTAAGATTAATGAATCATTATAATGCCTTAAATCATATGTCTGTTATATAAATAGTTCACCGAATTGCTGCAGGGAATAAACCATGTCCTGTAGGTGGACCCAAAACCTGAATCCTCTTAGAGAGATTCCCTCATAGGACACAGTGAGAGGGAGCTGAACGGTGCCGCTGCTGATCTCCTGTCGGTGAATGGATAAACGGATATGTACTCATTTTAAATCAGCCAAAATAATAATAATAATAATCAAAATAAGCAAGTGTCTGTTAAAGTTTACTAGAAAAAGCTTCCTATACCATGAGGTCTCTGACTCTGAAGTCGAGCTCATTAACCATCAGCAGAGGGAGGTACATCATCTGTCTGCCTTCCTGAGAGCTGCAGAGAAAAGCAGGAAGGTTCTTTAATTCAAAGTGATCCT